AAAGAATAAAACTGAAAGAAAAAGAAAGAAAGAATAAAAGAAATAAAGGTAACGTGAAAAAAAAGAATAAAATTGAAAAGAGAAAAATGGAGAAAAAATTGGGGAAATGAAAAAAGAAAAAAAAGAATAAAATTAAAAAGAAAAAAATAAGATTGGGAAAAAGAAAATTAAAAGAAAAGAATTTGTATTAAAACAGATGAATGTAGAATAAGAAAAATGAAGGTATTCAATTAAAGAAAGAACTAAAATTAAGAAAAATAGATAACAGAAAAAGATGAAAAAAGAAAAAGAAAAAAGAAAAGGAATAAAATTAAAAAGAGGAAATGAAAATAAGAGCAAGAAAAATTAGAAAAATCAGTTAATCTTGTTCTAAATTGCTCTTGGAAATGATAGAATATGATTGGGAATTGCTCAGGTATTGATAAGTGCAGTATCAAAAAAAAGGAATGATCATCTTTTTTTTCCTGATCTACTGTTGGTAAAAGAATAAATTAAAAAAAATGATAGAATAATAGAAATGAAGGTATTAAATATCTTTTAAAGAATTAAATTTAAAAACAGAATAAGTGATCACATAATGCATAATAAAACAATTCAAAATTGAAAAGATTAATGAATACTGTTGGGAATGAAGGTAAGAATCCAAAGGTTCAAGAAAATAGAATTTAAAAAAAAATTTGAATGAAGAAAGAAAAAAGAAATATAAAGAATAAAATGAAAAAGAAAATTATTCCATAATATTGGGGAAATGAATAATAGGGGAATTAAAGAAAAAGAATAAAATTATAAAGAGGAATAGATAGAATAAGATTGATAAAAAGAAAGAATTAAATAAAAAAAAAAAGGAAAGAAAAAATAAAAGATGAAAATATAAAAAAAAAAGAATAATTGAAAAAAAATTTTTAAGAGGAAGAATAAAAAGAAAAGAAAAAGAAAGAAAAGCAGTGAAAAGAAAAAAATAAATTCAGGAAAGATTTGGGAATGAAAGAATTAAAGAAAGAAAAAATTATGAAAGAAAAAAGAAAGAAAGAAATAAAAAAAAAAAATATAAAAAAATGAAAGAGAAAAATGAATAAGTTTAAATAAAGAAAAAAATAAAAGAAAGAAAAGAAAAAAGATGAAAAAGAAAAAAAAGATAAAGAAAAAAAAAGAAAAAAACAAAAAAAAAAAAATGAAAAAAATAAAGAAAAAGAAAAAAAGAAAAAGAAGAAAAAAAAATTCTAAAAGAAAGAAAAAAAAAATTTTAAAAAAAAAAGAAGAAAAGAAAAAAAAAAAGAATTGCTGAAATATAAAAGAAAAGAAGAAAATAAAAAGAAAAGAAAGAAAAGAAAAAGAAGAAAGACAAAGAAGAAAAGGAAGAAAGAAAGAATAATGAGAAGAAAAAAAGAAAGAAAAAAAGAAAAAAAGAAAGAAATAGAAGAAATTAAAAAAATGAAATTTTCTGAAAGAAAAAAAGAAAAATAAAGAAATAAAGAAAAAAGAAAAGATGAAAAAAAAAATTTGAAAGAAAATCCAAAAAATGTTAAAAATGAAAGAAAGAAAAAAAATAACCAATAAAAAAAAAATTTTTGAAAGAAAGAAAAGAAACATTGGTTTTTGTAATTGAAAGAAATGAAAGAAAGAACAGAAATTTAAAATGGAAGAGAAAAGAAATAAAGAAAAGAAAAAAAGAAAAATTTGAAAGAATGAAAATAAAAAAAAGAATATTAGAAAATTAAAAAAATAAGAAGAAAAAAAGAAAGAAAAAAAGAAAATAAAGAAAATAAGGAAAGAAAAAAAGAAAGAAAGAAAAGAGGAAGAATAAAAGAAAAAAAAAAAAAAGAAGGAAAAGAAAATGAGAAAATAATCGAGAATGAAATTAGAAAAAAAGAAAAGAAAAAAAAGAAAAAATAAAAAAAAAAAAAAGAAGAAAAAAAAAAGAAAGAAAAAAAAAATGAAAAAAGAAGAAAAAAATGAAAGAAAAAAAAAAAAGATAAAAAGAAAAAGAAAAAAATAAGAAAAAAGAAAGAAAAAGGAAAGAAAAAAAGAGAAGAAAGAAAAAAGAAAAAGAAAGAAAGAAAGAAAAAGAAAAATAAATTAAAAAGAGAAAAAGAATAATTTTTAAAGGAAAAAAAAAAGAAAAGAAAAAAAAAGAAGAAAAATAAAAGAAAAGAATAAAGAAAAAAGAAAAGAAAAAAAGAAAAAAGATAAATATTAAAAAAAAAGAAAAATTAAAAAAAGAAAGAAAAAGAAAATGGAAAATAAAAGAAAGAAAAATGAAAAGGGAAAAGAAAGAAAAAAGAAAGAAAGAAAGAAAAAAAAAGAAAAAAGGAAAAGAAAAAGGAAGAAGAAAAAGGAAAAAAGAAAATTTAAAAAAAAAAAAAAACAAAAAAGAAAAAAAAAAGAAAAAAAAAAAAATAAAAGAATAAAAAAAATTCAAAAAAAGAAAAAAAAAATAAAAGATTTTTAAAAAAAAAAAAAAGAAAAATAGAAAAATGAAAAAAAAAAAATTTAAGAAAAGAATAAAAAAAGAAAAGGATAAAAGAAGAAAAAAAAGAAAAAGAAAAAAAAATAAAAAAAAAAAGTTTGAAAATAATCAAGAAAGCTGAAAAATTTGAAGAAAAAAGAAAAGGAAAATGAATAAAAAAAAAATAAAATGATTTAAAAGAAAGAAAAAAGAAAATTGAAAAAAATAAAAAGAATAAAAAAAAAAAGAAAGGAAAAAAAGAAAAGAAAAATAGAAAGAAAAAAAAAAGAAAAAAAAATGTTATAAAAAAAAATTGAAAAGACAGAAAAGAAGGAAAAAAAAAAATAAAAATGATAGAAGGAAAGAAAAAAAGAAAGGTTTTGGAAGAAATGAAAAAAGAAAAAAAAAGAATTTAAATTAATGATGAAAATTAAAATAAAAAGAAAACAGAAATATAAAAGAGAAAATAAAGAATGTTTAATTAAGAAAAGAAGAAAGAAAAGGAAATTAAAAATGAATGAAAAGAAAAAAAAAAAGAAAAATAAAATTAAAAATTTTAAAGAAAAAAAAAAGAAGAAAAAATTAAAGAAAAGAATAAAAAAAAAAAATTTAAAGAAAGAAAAAAAAATGAAAATTAAAAAGAAAAAAATAAAAAATGAAAAGAAAAAATGAAGAGAAAAAATTGAAAAAGAAAGAAAAAATTGAAAAAGAAAGAAAAAATAAAAGAAAAAATAATAAAAATAAAAGAAAAAGAATAAAAGATGAAAATAAGAAAAAAGAATAATAGATGAAATTAAAAAAGAAAGAAAGATAGAAGAAAAAATAAAAAAGAAAAAATAAAACAAAAGAAAAGAAAAAAGAAAAAAATTTGAAATAAAATTGAGAATAAAGAAAGAATAAAAATAAAAAAACAAAAAAAAAGAATTTAAAAGAAAAAAAAAAAAATGAAAGAATAGTAAGAAAAAAAAAAAAAAAAAAAGAAAAAAAAAAAAAAAAAAATAAAGAAAGAAAATAAAAATGAAAAAAAAAAAAAAATGAAAAAAAAAAAATAGAAAAAATATAGAATAAAAAAAATAAAGAAAGAAAAAAAAAAATGAAAAAAATAAAAAGAAAAAGAAAAGAAAGAAAGAAAAAAATAAAATGAAAGAATAATAAATGAAAAGAAAAAGAAAAATAATAGATGAAAAATAAAAGAAAATAATAATAAATGAAAGAAAAGAAAAGAAAATAGATAAAGTAGAAAGAAAGAATAAAAGATGAAAATAAAAAAAAGAAAAAATAAATAAAAATTAAGAAAAGAAAGAAAAATAAATAAATAAGAAAAAAAAAAAATAATAGAAAAAATAAAAAAAAAGAATTAATAATAAATGAAAAATATAAAAAGAAAAAATAATAAATGAAAAAATAAAGAAAGAATAAAAGATGAATAAAAGAAAAAAAATAAAAGAAAGAAAAAAGAAAAATAATTTGAAAAAAAGAAAAAAGAAAAGAAAGAAAGATTGAAAAAAGAATAAAAAAAAATTGAAAAAAAAAAAATAAATAAAGAAAGAATATGAAAAGATGAAAGAAAGAAAGAAAAATTGAATAAAGAAAAAAATTAAAAGAAAAAAAATAATAATGAAAATATAAAGAAAGAAAGAAAGAAAGAAAAAAAAAAGAAAAATAAAAATAAAAATAAAAAGAAAGAATAATAAAAAAAAAGGGGGAAATAAAAAAAAGAGATGAAAATATAAAAGAAAAAAAGAAAAGAAAGAAAGAATAAAAAAAGAATAAAAGAAAAAGAAAAATAAAAAAAAAGAAAAAAGATTAAAAAAGAAAAAAAGAAAAAATAAAAGAAAGAAAAGAAAAAAAAAAAATGAAAAAAAAATTATAAAAAAAAATAAAAAAAGAATGAAAGATAAAAAAAAAAAAAAAAAAAGAAAATTATAAAAAAAAATAATAAATGAAAGATAAAAAAAGAATAAAAAATGAAAAATAAAAAAAAAAATAAAATAATTTAAAAGGAAAAGAAAAGAATAATAAAAAAAAAATAAAAAAAAAAATAAAAGAAGAAAAAAAGAAAAAAAAGAATAATAGAAAAAAGATAAAATGAAAAATAAAAAAGAAAAATAATAAAGAAAAAATAATAAATGAAAATAAAAATAAAATTAAAAGAAAAAAAAAAAAAAAAAAAAAAAGAATAAATAAGATGAAAATATAAAGAAAGAATAAAGAAAAAAAATAAAAAAAAGAATAAAAGATTTCAATAACAAATAAAGAATAAGAAAAAAAAAAGAAAGAAAGAAAGAATAATAAAATGAAAAAATAAAAAAAGAATAAAAATATGAAAATTTATTAAAAAAAGAATAATAAAAAAAAAATAAATAAAAAAAAGAATAATTGAAAAATATGAATTAAAAAAAAGAAAAAATAAAAGAAAAAAAAGAAAAAAAAGAAATAAAAAAAAAAAACAAAAAAGAAAAAAATAGAATAAAAAAAAAAAGAAAGAATAGAATAAAATTAAAAGGCTAAAAAAAATAAAGATGAAAATAAAAAGAAAGAAATAATAGAAAGAAAAAATATAAAGAAAGAAAGAAAAAAAAAAATTAATGAAAAATGATAATAAAGATTTTAGAAAAAGAATTAATAAAAAAATTTTAAAAAAAAAAAAGAATAAATTTAAATAAAAAAAAATTAATAAAAAAAGAAAGAAAATAATAAAAAAAAAAGAAAAGAAAGAAAGAAAGAATAAAAAGAAAAAAATAAAAGAAAATTAATAAAAGAAAAAATAAAAAAAAAAATAAAGATGAAAAAGAAAGAAAGAAAAAAAAGAATGAAAAAAAAAAGAAAGAATAATAAGATGAAAATATAAAGAAAGAATAATAGAAAGAAAATATAAAAAAAAATAATAAATGAAAATAAAAGAAAGAATAATAGATGAAAAAAAAGAAAAGAAAGAAAGATGAAAAAAAAAAAGAAAAAAAAAAAAGAAAAAAAAAAAATAAAAAAAAAAATAAAAGATGAAAAAAAAAAGAAAAAAGAATAGAAAGAAAAATAAAAAGAAAAAATAAAAGATCAAATTAAAAAAAAATTTAGAAAGAAAGAAAAAAAAAGAATAAAAGATGAAAAAAAAAAAAAAAAAAAAAGAAAAAAAGAAAAAAAATGAAAAAAGAATAAAAAAAAGAATGAAAGATAAAAAAAAAAATAAAAAAAAAAATGAAAAAAGAAAGAAAAGAAAAAATAATAAAAAAAAAAATTAAAAAGAAAGAATAATAGAAAAAAATTTATAAAAGAAAAAAAAAAATGAAAAATAAAAGAAAAAGAAAAAAAAAATAAAGAGAAAGAATAAAGAAAAGAATAAAATAAAAAAAATAAAAAAAGAAATTGAAAAAGGTAAAAAATTATAAAAGAAAAAAAGAAAAGAAAAATAAAAGAATAAAAGAAAAAAAAAAGAAAGAAAAAAAAAAAAGAAAATAAGAAAAATAAAAAAAAAAAAGAAATAAAAGATGAAAAAAAAAAAGAAGAAAGAAAGAAAAATATAAAGAAAAATAAAAGAAAAAAATTGAAAAAGAAAGAAATAGAAAAGATGAAAAGAAAAAAAGAAAAAAAAAAAAAATAAAGAAAAGAAGAAAGATTGAATTATAAAAAAAGAAAAAAAAGAAAAAAAAGAAAAAGAATAAAAAAAAGAAGAAAAATAAAATTAATAAAAAAAGAAAAAAAAAAAGAAAGAAAAGAAAAAGAAAAAAAATAAAGAAAGAATAATTAAAAAAATTAAAAAAGAAAAAGAAAAAAAAAGAAAAAAAAAAAAAAGAATAAAAAGAAATTAAAAAGATAAAAAAGAAAAGAATAAAATGAAAAAAAAGAAAAAATAAAAGAAATGAAAATATAAAGAAAGAAAAAAGAAAAGAAAAAAAAAAAGAATTAAAGAAAAAAAATAAAAGAAAGAATAAAAGAAAAGAAAAAGAAAAAAAAAATGAATAATAAATAAAAATAAAAAAGAAAAAGAAAAAAAAGAAAGAAAAAAAAAAAAAAGAATAAAATAAAAAAAAAAAGAAAGAAAAAAAAAAAGAAAAAAAAGAAAAAGAATAATAAAGAAAATAAAAAAAAGATAAAGAAAGAATAAGAAAAAATTAATAAAAATTGAAAGAAAAAATGAAAAAAAAAA